CCCCAAAACCCCAAAACCCCAAAACCCCAAAACCCCAAAACCCCAAAACCCCAACAAAGTTTATTAATACTGAACGAAGAGTGCATAAATTATTCTAGTGGTAGAAATAATACCATAAGTGAGCAAAGACCTGTTTCAATGGTCTGTAGAGCTTTAGGCATCAGATTTATTCATTAAGACTTAGAAAGAATTAACTAGAATTTTATTTTGATACCTTTGGCTTTCAGTAGCTATTTATTATAAACAGCTTCTGCTTAGCATTCCTCTCTGTATCATTTTTTCTGAAGATAATCCTTTTAAGATACACTATGGATGGTCAGACATATGAAGAAGAGAAGTATGATGGGTAGCTTACCTTCACAATACCTCATTCCGCATCCTTCATTTCTTTGAGTTTCTTCAACTTTCTTAGCCTTCTGGCTCTGTTTATCTTTTTCCTTCGTTCTTTAGCATGGGCTTTCTCTATTACAGCAAGATTAGGACATGAATATGCGAAGCGATGAGAATTAGGTCTCTCTATCAATAATCGAGAAAGAGAGGCTTAATTTAAGTTATTTGACTCTAATTTAGGATCAGCAGGACTTATTAAATTTAAACTAGGGACTAATAGCTTACCAATTTCAGTAAAGTCAATGTCTCCATCCTGAGCGTTCTTGTAGTTGATCTTAGGCTTTTTCTAAACCGAGGGTTATCATCTTCATTTTCTGAAGCCAATGAACATATTTAAATTTAGATATTTCTTAGTAACAAAGGCTATATGTGCACTATTTTGTATGGTTTTCACCAGTCACAACAGAGGCAACTCCCTATCAAACTCCAAGTGGTAGCTTGGAGTAGACGAAGCAGCTTTCATTGGCTCTTAGCAATATCTGATAAAAATAATGGGCTTTTAGAACAAGCTACTCTAATTTTAAGCTGAGTTGGACCATCCAGTTTAAAAAGAATTTATTGACGATAGTTGACTACATGGAATCCCTACCAACCTGGATCTCCAAGCTTTATTGGGGATGAAGCCATCCAAATGAACAGAAAATTCTTTGTGAATTAAGTCAAGAATTAATTCAAGAATTTCTTCACATAAATTTGGTGCAGCCACTAACCAAATTTTGTATTTCCTAGATTATAATGATATCTTCTCGAAATATTGTTTGAACGATTTTGCTTGGTGAAGGAAAAATATGATAAAAGACATCAATAACAGCATTAATATGCGATTTTGTCATGCTTGTTAGAAGAGAATGTTACCTAACAAAAGCCATTATTGCTAACGATAATCTTTTGAACCTTATATAGCATATCTTTTCTATTATGCAACCCATAAATTAAAAATAAACCTCTGGAATGATTATAACTCTCTTGAGCAACCCTGGCATGGCAGGGCAGGCAGCAATTGCTCCACGAGAATTGCTCATCAATTTTTTTAAAATAATTTTTAGTGAAAACTCCTGAACCAGTCTTAGAATTTAATTTTATGGCTGCTCAGATGCTGTTATCACAAAGTTCAGTCACTACTGCACTTAGAGAGACTGTAAACTCAAGCTTGATAATACGCTAATTCACCACTAAATCGGTGATGGGCTCTCAAAAATGTGAATCATTATTCTAAATTGATCTTTTTAGGAAAAGCTTCATTGCATCAGATATTGCAAGGCTTTACTAAAGAGAGATGTGTGAGCTCAATGATTTGACGCAGAGGTCTCCAGGTGGTCGGTCTCAAGGAAAATTGGTGGAAGTTATCAGATTTTGCTATTATCAGCATTCTTACCTTTTTCTTTTGCGAATCTGGCTTAGGATGTTTGGCTGCCTGCTGGTCTATATGGCATTAGAGGGATTCACAAGCATTCTTACTAGCGACATTAGGAGGATAATTGCCCATGTTTTATAATTCAATTATTGTTTCTTGGCATGGGGTTTTGGGGTTTTGGGGTTTTGGGG